TTCAAATTTCAATTAGTTTATCATTCTTACTTATTGTTTGGTATTATTTATTTTTAGCTGAGTCTAATCTGCTTAATATCATGATTTTCATAAAACAACTTCTACGATATTACTATATTGTTTCTCATTTCAAGCATTTAAGTAATTTTTCTCCTCAGAAAATCATAATCTTTTAGAAAAACTTATTCAACATCACCTCATGACTCAATGCAAGCTTAATTTTCCTTTACAAAATGGATCTTCTAATAAGTGTGGATTTCTCTCTATTTTATCTAGGAGACTAGGATTGGATCCGCCATATCTAATTACTTAAATCTTACATTTCCTTTGTTTCACTAACTATTATTTTACGACTTGTTACAGAGGAGAAAGTAGCGTTTATTCGTCCGTGCCTGCAACTCTGCACTACCACCAATTTTGTATGTTTAACTTTTCCTTTTATAACCATTACTTGATCCTTTTCTTAAGATTTTGGTGCTGCTGTTCTTGCCATTTTATATCCCTTTAGTATTGATTTCATTACTTCAATCTCAATTACTAAAAGACCTCATGACTATCATATTCTGAAAGCTTAAATATTTGAAAAAGATCATTCTTTCCAATAGCATATTCCAATATATTAGCCCTCATTTCGTTCTGCATTCATTTTGCTTTCTCTATTAAAGTTTCCCCTTAATTATAAATTGACTTTGTTACTTTGAATTATTCAGATTAATTTTCGATGAATTTCTGTTTTCTAACTGAAGATCTCGTTATTCTTGGATGGGTTTAGCCCGTATTGCTTAAATGAATGATTTGCAGAACTTTACTAGTTGTGGTAATAAAGATAATACAGGTGACATTTCCAAATCAAAAGTAATGATTAACTGTTATTATTCTTGTTAAGTAATTATATGAATCTTATCTAAAATCTTTTGATTTCTACACCATTTTATACCCCACTCATTGTTCCAGCAAATATGGTTAGTTTTCTGGTTATTATGAGAAGTCAAATCTAACTAATTGTCTTTATACTGATACTTGGGTTTGTGAAAACAATGGCAATAATTTGGTGCACTCTTAAAATAATTAATTATAATTTGTTTAATTTGGCCTGCTTAAATAGACAATTAAACTCAAAGAATATATTAAATCTGACTATAGCTGATTTGTTTTAAATATTCAAATCATGCTCACTCCTATAAAATTAAATTTAATGGGGTTTTGGGGTTTTGGGG